TCTTTGTTGTTCCCGGAAACATTGTGTCTGCAAATGTAGTTTTGATGATATGCTTCCTGAATGTTGTTGAATTATGAACATAGTCTCTCAAATTTCCTGACCTATGATCGATGTCAGCTATGGGGTATCATTTGCAGTGGACTTATGGTTTGCACCAGGTCCACAGTTCTGGTCCCTACCACCAGGCAGTCTTGAGCCAAGACAACAGACGGTATTTTGGAAAGCGTAGCCTATAGCTTGCTGATGTTATGTACTCTGTTCCACAGCAACCATTACTGCCATTTATAGTTGCTGGATTGGGCCCTGGTTTCTTTGTTAGAATTTCTGTGTATGTCTTTTTCACATCACTGAAAAATGCACAGTTCTTACATTCAAATTTCAGTTTGTATTCCAGTGTTTGCGTTGACGCCGTTTTTTGCCATTTTTACGGAAATTTCAGAAGGTTGGACGTAAAAATCAAAATCAACTTACGTCCCTAGGACGCGAAAATTATAAACTGCTTCAAGATAACTTTTACTGCAGCACAGTAGCGGTAAAACATGATTTTCATCAAGATTTTCAAACTCACAACCTTGATATACGAGCAATGATCCAGGTATATTTATATCGACAAATCTGATTGGCTACCATGACTACCGAAGATTAGCAGGGTTTCCAGTATGAGACATTGATTTTGATTGGTTCCGATATATTCCGGAAAATGCCGCAATCGAAATGGAAGATCAAAACATACAATATTGCAGAAATCCCCTGTGGTTCCCCACAAATTGAAACGATTGTTTTTCACGATTATCTTTATTATTTCCACTAGAAACCATTATATATTGATCTAATGTTATACATCAAGATAATTGTTTAATGATAGATCGAGGTTTTCATCTAAAAGTCTTCAGAATAAGGAGAAATGTTAATAAAAAGAAGCAAAAGTTCACAACCTTGACATGACCTTCAAGATCGCAAGTTTTAAAATGAGAAAACAAAACTCTTAATTTGAGCATTTCCTTTATTCATTTCGGACTATTTTGGTATAACATTACTTAAGAATTGTGTGAAAAGGACCCAGTGATAGATATTTATCGGCAGGATGCATCAAATTACAATATATGTCATTTTTATCCCATTTTAGTGTAAGCACTCTATTATCGCCCACTTTATTTTCACTTTCACAATATTTTCTTGAACTTTGTGAAGAAATAAGAGGGACGCAAAACAATTAGATGGGGACTCAAATTTTTCAAATGGGTTGCGTCCCTGGGACTTAGAAATTTTAATGGCTAGCGCGAACACTGTATCCCAGTCTGTAAAGATCTTTGGATTTGATGGCAATATCCATTTTACAATTTGGACTAGCTTCGCTACATTGAACCGACACATTGTTCACAATCATCACCATTCCTTCTTCATTTATGATTATTGTTTCAGGCTCTTGTAGGGCATTGCTTTATATATTTGCCAATGATTCCTTTTTGTCTTTTTTTGGTCTCAATATTAGCTTGGTATTAGCCGGTCTCTCACAATTTAACACTCTGTAGTACCGATTGACTGAGTTCCTTGTGTGCCACTACAGGCACCATCAATTTGCTATGAGTATCCACCGTGGGTCTTGTGATACCCCTGCCTTTACAGTCCTGGTCTTTTGTTTTGGGTGGTGTGCATGTCCCTTTTTAAACTGCTTGGGCTTTGTTTTTGTCTCTTGTTGTAAATATACATTTTGGATGGTTTTTCAGTAGTTTCTGACATGTTTCCAGTGATTTTGGTAACAAAATTAATAAATGATCTGATCTCTGCGTTAACGTGTAAAATCAGGTTAATAGGGTTGGGAAGTTTATACAGAGTGTGATATGCGTACATATATATATTTTTTTATTCATGTAATATAATTATGATGATTACATATACACACTAGATACCCATAGGGGGGTAAGTGCATTATCAAAAACCATAAAGGTGTACAATTTATATCAGGGATCTAGATAAGTTTAAAAAGTTATTAGCCAATGTGGCTAATGTTTTCTAAAAAATATTAGCCACTCTGAAAAATTATAAGCCACAATATTTTCTCAAATTTTCACAAAAAACATATTTTACAGCCACTTTGTGTGAACAGGACACTTCGTGTTTTTTGATAGAATCCAATTTTATGGATTTCGTCCCTTGACACCAGATATTCCAAGTGTCACTTTGACTTCCATATTTTAGACAAATTCCACATGTCATCTTTCCATTGTTGTATATAAGCCATGGCTGCCCTGCCTTCCAGTCTAGTCGGAAAGACCTCAATGGTCCCGGCATAATTTTGAAATATGGACACACAGACAGATTGAATGTATCAGAAAAACGAACGAAACAGTTTTGCGAATATGAGCTAATGTTAAATTTTCATTGACTGGAAAATAAGTTTTGGCGTCTCAATTGATTCAGCAAAATACTGAACGCAACAAGTCTTGTGAAGGTGCCCTGTGTTAAATTTCCATTGAAACATAGATAATTGTTGCGTCTCATGGGTGAAATTACAAAAATTAAGAAAGTTGAAAACGAAGAATCCCAGATAATTTATCTGTTTCTCAGGTAGGTTCTGTACAAAGATCTTCACCACCTTTGCGAATATTTAAATCAAGATCTTCGCCAGGTGCTAAAAATATTCGCAATTGGAGAATGGCGACAGCTTATTGTAATTTGTAATGAGTTGAGCATGAAGACATACAATTTATAATAATACATGATATAAAATATGAAAATATACAATAACTGCCTGCAAGCAGATAAATCAGTAAGTGAAATTATAAACATCATGGATACAGCACAATGTGGAAAAATAACATTACATGCTTACAGCTTATAGCTCAATAACAATTTATCAATGTTTTTTTAGTAATTATTTTTAAAGGAATGTAGAGAGGGTAGAGATTGAAGGGAAGTTGGCAATTTATTCCATATGATTGATTCGGAGTATTGAACTGATTTCTTTTTTAAGTTTGATTTAAATCTACACAGAATTATATGTCGTATTTGTCTTGCGAGACGAGAGTGTTTAAAATTAAAGTACTGTTTGAATGGATGTTTTTTGCTGCATCTGAAATAGAAAATGTCAAATGAGACTGTGACGTGTTATTAAATATTTTTTTGTGCTTTTGGGGACATTTTATTTTTAATGTGACATAAATTATTATTAGACTCCAGATGTCAATCTGGAGTCTATTGTTTTTGCCAGTATTCTTCTTCTTTATTCTTATTCTTATTATTCTTCTACAAACGTTTTCTCCTTAACTAGAAGACATTGAGTCAAGTCCTGTAAATGGTCAATTTAGGTCCAGTATCTAGTTTCTGGGAAATTGGGTCAATTTTTTATCTAGGTCAAAGGTCAAGAACTAGGTCAAATCCAGTACTTTGTCACTTTTTTCAATTTTCTCAGTCGGCCTTCAATATTTTCGATCCAGGTTTTTTTCATTGTGTTCCTCATAAAAAAGTAGGAAAGCTAGGTTCGATTTAGTTTTTTGATATCTCAAACCGATTTTGAGATATGGTGTCCGGAAAGTAGGTCACACCAAAACGTGCTCCAAATTCAATGTATGAGTTATGAATTAGGGGTAGAATTTTGTCAGGAATCCGAATCTGCAAACCAAATTTTGATCCGACCCCTGGTTTGGAAGTTATGGCGTTTTAAAAACTCAAAAATCGCTAAATTTTGTGCCCATGTTAAGTCAATGGGAAAAAAGATTTTTTTGAAGTGAAAAATATGAAATATAGACAGCTTAAATATAGTTCAGCTTAATTAAATGAAAGGCTTCAAAAGAAGGGGACCTCAAAAGCCATCTAGCTTCAGAATTTGGACACCAAAATTCCTATGTCAAAATCTAGGTCAAATTCAAAGGTTTTCCTTATTTTTGTGATTCTGACACTACACTTCAATTATATTCTTCGAAATTGTGTATACATGTAGCCAAGAGTCTGCTAATAGTGTTAGCCTTTGCCGTCAGAAAGTATTTTGACCCACTTTTGAGATATGGTGTCCGAAAAGTAGGTCAAAATTAAAAGTTCTCCAAATTTAATGTATGAGTTATGACTTAGGGGTAGAATTTTGTCATGAATCCGAATCTGCAAACAAAATTTCGATCCGACTTCCGGTTCGGAAGTTATGGCGTGTCCGAAAAGTAGGTCAAAATAAAAATTCGCCAAATTTAACGTATGAGTTATGAATTAGGTGTAGAATTTTGTCAGGAATCTGAATCTTTAAATCAAATTTCGATCCGACTCCCGGTTCGGAAGTTATGGCGTTTTGAAATTTCGGAAAATCGATCTGATGGCATCCTGATAGAAAGTCAAGAGTAGAGAAGAAAATATTGAAAAATTCATCCATCCTTCCTATCTGATCTTATCCTATCCTTCCTATCTATCCTTCCTTCGTATCTTTTCTCCTTCCTATCCTTCCTATCCTCTCCTATCATATCCTTTCTTCCTATTCTGTTCTATCCTATCCTTCCTATCCTCTCCTATCATATCCTTTCTTCCTATTCTGTTCTATCCTATCCTTCTTTCTTATTCTATCCTATCGTTCCTTCCTATTCTATCCTATCCTACCTTCCTATTTTATCCATCCATCTTTTTCTGGATGACTCAGCTTATTCTGGATGACTCGGCTTATTCTGGATGACTCGGCTAAAAAAGGTCTAAATCTGGAGTCTGAAATTGAACTTCGTTCAATTTCCAAAGTCTAGTTATTAATGGCATCATAGCCTCTTATTATTTGTCAAAACCCTTGAACATTATAATATAGGCTAATTATGTGAACAAATGAAGATGACAGTGATGGTTATTTAACTTGTTTCACATAGTTTAAAGTCCACATTTCTCAGAAACATTTCACGACCACAGTTAAACTGAACATTCAAAATCAATAATTGCATTCATGTTGTGATGGAATTAAGTTTTAAAATATGCTACCTTTTATAACACTGGCTATTCTTTTTTTTACTGAGGCCATTCTTTAACCCTTTACCACCTCAATCGTACTGGGTGGCTAGTGGGGTAGTAAATGTAGCAGCCATTATCCTTTCAACTACATCTTTAGCAGCTACACCTTTAGCAGCTACACCTCCTAAGCTGCTCAGGTAACGTACCTGAAATGGATTATATAGGGGTTATGCACTGGGAGGTTTTGGATACAGGGAATATCCCGAGGGATATACAATATATCTTACCGAGGGACCGAAGGGACCAAGGGAAGATATATTGTATATCCCAAGGGATATTTCCTGTATCCAAACCGACCGTGCATAACTGTTGTATTCCATACCTGATGAGGTTTGAAATAATAAGCATGTATCCCAAAACATGTATTTCAAAAATGAAAAAAAAAAAATTTTCAAAATTTTTTTTACATTTTTTTGCATAATTTCTTTTCAGAATTTTTTTTAACATTTTTTTCAGAATTTTTTTAAACATTTTTTTCACAATTTTTTAACATAATTTTTTTCCACAATTTTTTCCAAATTTTTATTTTCAATTTTTTTTCCCAAATTTATTTTAAAAAACTTTTTTTAAATTTTTTGAGCGGGACATACCATTTATATGTCCCGGAGCTCCGTTGAAGCGGGACATACGAAAAATATTTGCCCGGATATGGAATATATTCCCGGTTGATATGTCCCTGAAACCTCATCAGGTATGGAATACATTCTTCTATAACTTTGCACATTTTACACCAATCAAAATATATAACTTTTTTCATATGGCGAATCAATATGTAAAAATTGTCTTTCTTGACTTTCATTTCAATAGAGGGTGCCATCAACATCTTGACCAATCTGCATCCTTCTGGTCGTTGAATGATCGCATCACAACCATAGTACTTCTTCTTTAGACATGGACTGTTCATAATACACACTTCAATGTTGTTATCATCCATTTCTGAAAACATATGCACAATAAATGAATTATAACTTAACTGGTGAAATTAAACAATTTCAAGTTAAGACTCCAGATTGAATTATCCTAGATCTTCAGCTCAACCTTTGATCTTCAAAATGTCAACTTTACTTGTCAGTTGGTTGGTTGGTTGGTTGATTGTCTGCTTGACTAGTTGATTATTTGCTTGCTTGGTTGGTTAGTTAGTTAATAGCTTGTTTGGTATTTCTCAAGTTCATATTCTTTCTTAAGAACCACTGTTTTAACATTCCAAAACAGAAATCTAATTTTAATGAGAAAATTGTGGCACAGTAAAGGTTAGGGAATAAAACATTGGTTTAAATTATTGGATAAAATAAAGATATGGGACATGTCATCATATGTAAATAATAATAAGCAAATATTACATTCTATGGAGGGCAATATCTGTTCATCTTTCAATGATTTTTGCAATATGCAGATATGTGTTGCCCCCAGCCTGTAATGATACAATATTCGCTTTAATTGATAACGAATGAGCATAACGGGTCATTACTATTATTGCGTTTAAATCAATTATTATCCATAATTATGGATAAAAATGAATATGTTTCAAGTTCCTAATCTCTACTGGTGAATCTTCTTTCATTTTAGTAGCCGTTGATCTGATATCTTATCTTTAATTCAAAATTGAGAGCGATTGAGCATAACAGGTCTTTTAACTTTGAACATTTTACACCAATCAAAATATATAACTTTTTTCATATGGTGAATCATTATGTAAAAATTATCTTTCTTGACTTTCTTTTCAATAGAGGGTGCCATCAACATCTTGACCAATCTGCATCCTTCTGGTCGTTGAATGATCGCATCACAACCATAGTACTTCTTCTTAAGACATGGACTGTTCATAATACACACTTCAATGTTGTTATCATCCATTTCTGAAATCATATGCACAATAAATTAATTATAACTTAACTGGTGAAACTAAACAAGTTCAATTTTAGACTCCAGATTGAATTATCCTAGATCTTCAGCTCAACCTTTGATCTTCAAAATGTCAACTTTACTTGTCAGTTGGTTGATTGGTTGTTGTCTGATACCATGGTTGGTTGGTTGGTTGCTTGTCTGTTTGACTAGTTGATTTTAGTTGATTAATTAGTTAGTTGCTTTTTTGGTATTTCTCAATTCATATTCTTTCTTAAGAACCACTGATTTACATACCAAAACATAAATCTAATTTTAATGAGAAAATTGTGGCACAGTAAATAGGTTAGTGAATAAAACATTGGTTTAAATTATTGGATAAAATAAAGATATGGGACATGTCATCATATGTAAATAATAAGCAAATATTACATTCTATGGAGGGCAATATCTGTTCATCTTTCAATGATCTTTGCAATATGCAGATATGTGTTGCCCCCAGCCCGTAATAATACAACCAATGTCACAGCTCACCCAAACACCAGCCAGATCATTGTCACATATTATTTTCTATCCTTTAGCATAGACCAGTAAGGTAAAAAGGGGCTCTGATAAATCAAAATGGGACAAAACTCGCAATTAATGTTTTCAATTTTATACGCACAAGTAACACCTCCTTATTTATAAATGTATATATTTAACCTTCAATATATTGGAAGTTAGGCCAATGTACCTAAAATCATTGTTTCCTGTCAGCTTGCATGCATAAGTTCTTACGCAAAAGCAGGTCATAGTGGCCTTCCCTGCTCCAGGTACAGTGACTTGCAACACAGTAATGTTAACATAACTTAGCACTTTGAGAATTTATTCTGATAATACTAAATTTGGGTGACAACACTCGATACTTATAGGCCTATACATTGAGATGAGACACAAAATAACTTTTTCCACCTCTTCCACATTCATACAATGAAGACCATATCGTTCTCACGTCAACGTCGATATTCAGACCTAGCACCAATGTCGGCCCAACGTCAGAGTACTGCCGTAAAATTGCCGACTTCAGACCAACAGAGACGTGTTAATTGCCGACCTGTACCAACGTCGGGCCAACGTCAAAGTACTGCCCTAAAATTGCTGACGTCGGGCAAACAGAGCTGTGTTATCTGGGTTAGAACTCCTTGTTAATTTTGAACAACAATACAACTTGAACAACAATTTACAAGGCATTTTCAGACAAAAAGTCTGGTAATTGTGAGAAAGTTGTAAAAATGCTATTCTTACATTTGTAGGGTTATTTCAACATCAATATATTATACAATATTTACAATACTAATAAACTTATAGTAATATACAAGGCATTTACATGCAAAAAGTTCTTAAGTTGTTCCAGTGCTATTCTTGTATTTCCATGCATATTTCACCATCATTGTATTTTGCAATTAACTTATATTATACAAGGCATTTACATGCAAAAAGTTAGAATCTGGTAGTTATTGTAGTCAGTCTATTACAACCAAATTATTTTGCTTTAGGCAATAGTTTTCGCGTTCGAGGGTCATTGGTGTCTTGTCACCATTATCCCAGGATACTGTTACGCACTTCTTTTTCCATGTGGTTATTGTGCCTGGAAATAGAAACAAAATATGAAGCTTTTCTTATGGGGCTTGTTTTTTTTATTAATAGAATCTACAGCTGCTGCTGCTGGAGTTTGAATGTCATCATGTTTTCTCTCTGAAAACTCATGAGCCTGACAGACTCCTCTGCATTTATCTTACGTAAACACGTCTTCCTGTTGTGATCTTTCCAGTAAACGCAATTGCAGCATCATTGTTTATACCACAGATTATCATATTCTTGATGAGTAAGTTTTTTAATTGACCAAATTCACAGTCTTTGGCGAACTTTTGCAAAACGTTGGCATAATTGGTTTTATCAGCATCCTCATTGAACACAAAACTCTTATAAATCTGTACACAAGGTTCTCCTTTACATGCCATAAGAATGTTGAACTGGATTTGTGCTGACTTTTCTGTAGCCACCTGAAAAAAAGCAAACATCTGCTTGAAGTGTCTCCAATTTTTAGCCAGATCACCAGTCAAAACCATTTGTTTTGGTTAATCCAAGAAGACTGCCATCCTGATTGTACGGTTTACTGTCCAATATATATCAGATGGTTAAGTATTAAGTCTAATTTTCCCGATTTATGACACCATATAAAACTTAATTGGGTGAATTAGGAAGTGCCATCTATATTCCTTTTATTATTATTACAGAATTACAATGGAATAAGTGAAACGAAACTACTCTAATTAATTAATACCATTGCACACACCCCTTTTAAAGATTTTTTTAGATTTGAAACCATGCCTAGAATTGAAAGCCCTAGAGCTAATTAAAGTCAAAGTGTAATACAAGGGTTGATCAACATGTATAATGACAAACCTGTTACATTGTTAGGTTGGTAATATGTCATCACGATTAATTAGTAGATCACATCAACTAACAGAAACTTTTCAGGATTGATTTACACCCAAATCTGTATGAATTAATGGTGTCTTTCAAACTCATTTTGGACAGACGTTCAATACCTCATTGTTATGATTCACATCCTGCTTTAGATGCCCATACCACGGGTTGCTATGGCAACCATAACTCAGACATTAAGTAATATTTGTGCCTCAGATTTTGTGGAAAGAATGATGAATGTTTGGTGATAGATATATCAACTTGGGTGTTCTAACTCCAATTAGCTTCTGAAATAAGGGCTCTATTTGCGTTATATCACAAACAATGTTCAATTTTGTTGCATCAAAAATTACACAGCACTAGAACAGTATCACGCAACAGGTATTTTTTCAAAACTAGAGTTTTTTCCTTTACCTTTCCCCTTGCCAATCCCTCCTATTGATGGCATCCCATCTAAAACAGAAGGAGACTCATCTGGCCTTGTTACAAGTTCCTGTTGGCCTGACCTAGTACATGACGTAGTAGGTGGTGGCAGGAAGTTGCTCCTATTTGCAGTGCCAGGGGAGGCTTCATTTACATTCTCAGAAATTTGAACTGTAACTCCAGATGTTGTAGGGCCAGTTTTGGTTTTGTTAGAGGTTTTCACATGGCCACGGATGAGTTCAAATTTATTACTTGTTATGTTGATTGATCCATTGGCTTGAACATCTTTCTTGTAATCTTCTGAGTAGCTAACATAATTCCATCCCATTTTAGTATTTTTCATAATGAGTATATGTTCAAAGTCTGGAAAGTCTACATTAAAATTATGAAGATTATTGTCTATTGTCTTCCTCTTTCTTTGTTGGGACCTTAAGTTTGCTTTTTCCAAGCGTTTAGAGACTTGTTCCTCATCCCCAATCCTTTTGGTCAGACCCTGCGCCCGTTTTAGTACTTTTGTGATGGTGCTGAAAAGTCAAAACACACAAGATAATACACAAACCTTCATAAAACAATGTTCAATTTTGTTGCATCAAAAATTACACAGCACTAGAACAGTATCACGCAACCGGTATTTTTTCAAAACTAGAGTTTTTTTCCTTTACCTTTCCCCTTGCCAATCCCTCCTATTGATGGCATCCCATCTAAAACAGAAGGAGACTCATCTGGCCTTGTTCCAAGTTGCTGTTGGCCTGACCTAGTACATGACGTAGTAGGTGGTGGCAGGAATTTGCTCCTATTTGCAGTGCCAGGGGAGGCTTCATTTACATTCTCAGGAATTTGAACTGTAAGTCCAGATGTTGAAGGGCCAGATTTGGTTTTGTTAGAGGTTTTCACATGGCCACTGATGAGTTCAAATTTTTAACTTGTTATGTTGATTGATCCATTGGCTTAGACATCTTTCTTGTAATCTCCTGAGTTGGTAACATATAATTCCATCCCATTTTAGTATTTTTCATAATGAGTATATGTTCAAAGTCAGGAAAGTCTACATTAAAATTATGAAGATTATTGTTTATTGTCTTCCTCTTTCTTTGTTGGGACCTTAAGTTTGCTTTTTCCAAGCGTTTAGAGACTTATTCCTCATCCCCAATCCTTTTGGTCAGACCCTGCGCCTGTTTTCGTACTTTTGTGATGGTTCTACAAAGTCAAAACACACACGATGATACACAAACCTTCATAAAACAATGTTGCATTATATATCACATACAATGTTCAATTTTGTTGCATCAAAAATTACACAGCACTAGAACAATATCACGCAACAGGTATTTTTTCAAAACTAGAGTTTTTTCCTTTACCTTTCCCCTTGCCAATCCCTCCTATTGATGGCATTCCATCTAAAACAGAAGGAGACTCATCTGGCCTTATTACAAGTTTCTGTTTGCCTGACCTAGTACATGACGTAGTAGGTGGTGGCAGGAAGTTGCTCCTATTTGCAGTGCCAGGGGAGGCTTCATTTACATTCTCAGGAATTTGAACTGTAAGTCCAGATGTTGTAGGGCCAGTTTTGGTTTTGTTAGAGGTTTTCACATGGCCACGGATGAGTTCAAATTTATTACTTGTTATGTTGATTGATCCATTGGCTTGGACATCTTTCGTGTAATCTTCTGAGTAGCTAACATAATTCCATCCCATTTTAGTATTTTTCATAATGAGTATATGTTCAAAGTCTGGAAAGTCTACATTGAAATTATGAAGATTATTGTCTATTGTCTTCCTTTTTCTTTGTTGGGACCTTAAGTTTGCTTTTTCCAAGCGTTTAGAGACTTGTTCCTCATCCCCAATCCTTTTGGTCAGACCCTCCGCCCATTTTAGTACTTTTGTGATGGTGCTGAAAACTCAAAACACACAAGATAATACACAAACCTTCATAAAACAATGTTCAATTTTGTTGCATCAAAAATTACACAGCACTAGAACAGTATTACGCAACAGGTATTTTTTCAAAACTAGAGTTTTTTTCCTTTACCTTTCCCCTTGCCAATCCCTCCTATTGATGGCATCCCATCTAAAACAGAAGGAGACTCATCTGGCCTTATTACAAATTGCTGTTGGCCTGACCTAGTACATGACGTAGTAGGTGGTGGCAGGAAGTTGCTCCTATTTGCAGTGCCAGGGGAGGCTTCATTTACATTCTCAGGAATTTGAACTGTAAGTCCAGATGTTGTAGGGCCAGTTTTGGTTTTGTTAGAGGTTTTCACATGGCCACGGATGAGTTCAAATTTATTACTTGTTATGTTGATTGATCCATTGGCTTGGACAATTTTCTTCTAATCTTCTGAGTAGCTAACATAATTCCATCCCATTTTAGTATTTTTCATAATGAGTATATGATCAAAGTCTTGAAAGTCTACATTAAAATTATGAAGATTATTGTCTATTGTCTTCCTCTTTCTTTGTTGGGACCTTAAGTTTGCTTTTTCCAAGCGTTTAGAGACTTGTTCCTCATCCCCAATCCTTTTGGTCAGACCCTGCGCCCATTTTAGTACTTTTGTGATGGTGCTGAAAAGTCAAAACACACAAGATAATACACAAACCTTCATAAAACAATGTTCAATTTTGTTGCATCAAAAATTACACAGCACTAGAACAGTATCACGCAACCGTTATTTTTTCAAAACTAGAGTTTTTTTCCTTTACCTTTCCCCTTGCCAATCCCTCCTATTGATGGCATCCCATCTAAAACAGAAGCAGACTCATCTGGCCTTGTTACAAGTTGCTGTTGGCCTGACCTAGTACATGACATAGTAGGTGGTGGCAGGAAGTTGCTCCTATTTGCAGTGCCAGGGGAGGCTTCATTTACATTCTCAGGAATTTGAACTGTAAGTCCAGATGTTGTAGGGCCAGATTTGGTTTTGTTAGGTTTTCACATGTCCACTGATGAGTTCAAATTTATTACTTGTTATGTTGATTGATCCATTGGCTTGGACATCTTTTTTGTAATCTCCTGACTAGCTAACATAATTCCATCCCATTTTAGTATTTTTCATAATGAGTATATGTTCAAAGTCGGGAATGTCTACATTAAAATTATGAAGATTATTGTCTATTGTCTTCCTCATTCTTTGTTGGGACCTTAAGTTTGCCTTTTTCAAGCGTTTAGGGACTTGTTCCTCATCCCAAATCCTTGTGGTCAGACCCTGCGCCCGTTTTCGTACATTTGTGATGGTGCTGAAAAGTCAAAACACACAAGATAATGCAAAAACCTTCATATCTCCCAGCATTTTTCTCGCTCCAAGGCATATCTTCCCATAAAAAGTTTTGAAAAAAATGTTGAAAAAAAATAATTGAAATTTTTTCTTGAAAATTCTACTTGGTATAGGATAAAGCAATTATGTATGTTTGGTTTGGATATGGTGTTATGCCGTCGTGATATATAAGGTCCCTCAAGGTAGATATGCAAATCTCCCTCTGGATACACAACCTTTATTTATACTTACATGTCCAGTCATGTGTTATATTCAGTCTGGGCCCTACTGAGCCAGGGGGTGAGCCTGCAGTCCTTAAATGAATGTCTTGAGATTCTAAAATGCAGGATCAAGGTAATATACTGTATATTTAAGCGGTTACAAATCAGAACACTTAAAGCTCCCATATTGAGTCAAACCACTTTGGCTTATATTGTATTCTTGCCTAATGTTATCAAAGGGTGATATGTGAAACTTTTCTCAATTTTCAATTGTATCAAAAAGAATTTTGCCACCTGAGTGACATGTTTAATAGTCAGTATACCGAGTTTAATCAATAAAGGATTGTACAATGAACAATAAAATTTGGAAATGAGTACTATAGATTTGCTTTCGAACAACTAAACAGATTGACCTAGATAATAGCAATGCGTCTTCTTTGGTCAACTGCTCAGTTCTTTGTGAGTTTTCTATGTAACTCTATCATGTAATTTAAAGATGATGTTTGACTTCCTAAAATAAGAAAATGATGTGATATGGTATGATATTCGTAGAAAAAGAAAAAAATGAATTGAAAAGCGATCTATTTCCCTTTTTTTTAGGTAAGATGTGATTTTGTTTAAAATTTTATCTGCTCAAGAAAACCATAATTATATATTTATCATTTTTTCTAACATTGCATGGCATTTATCTATCATAGACCTAAATACTTTTAGTGCTCTGATTATTTCTATTTCAATCAAATAAGGTAAGTGATAAAGTCCATATTACATGCAAAATTGGATGCCCAGAAAGGGAGATTCAAATGTCCCAAGATTTGTGAAGGAAGTATGTCATTACCAGACTTATTATTGTCTCCACTAAAACAAATATTGCGAAAATAAATAGATGCCAATCTGTCAATTGCTAAAATCGTCAAATTAAGTAGCGCCAAGTTAAAGACCAAATCAGTATTTGAAATGCTCTGATATCTGGATATAATATTTGCCAAGAAAAGAAAGGCTTGCCTCTTTTTCTTTATTCAAGAAGGGGTCTTTCTATTTCAAGATACAGATAATTGATTTAGAAAGAGAGACATGCCCTGTTCTATTTTGGCTACAATGAAATGTCCTTTTTTTACTAAATATACAGGGTGTCAAATAAGTCTGTTCTCCCCCCTTAACTTTTTAATCTTTAAATTTATCATACTTTCCCATATATCATTTTGAAGCTCATGGAAAATGCTGATCACCCTCAAAAAATCAATCATAAACTCCTCCAAATAAAATTGCTACAATGTTTCTTGTGAGGTTGTAGTTGACCTTTGATGACGTCAAAACAAGTAAAATTACCAGATATAGTGAATGAAAAGTGAAAAGTTGATACTGCAGTGACAATGCCAACATTGGGTGATTTCGATGTTTCTCAATATCATTACAGAGTAAAATGTGTTACATTCAGGGGAGCCTTTGAAGCAGGGGCATCTTTAACCACAAAATAGTTGATAACACCTAAAATTAAACGTTCTGAATGATTTATACAGGATCATATCCTCGTAGAATTGAGGCCATCTGGGCTGCTGGGGGAGACATACAGACTATTAAAAAAGTGAAATATGGACATCACTAAAAATACTCTAAAAAATTTGGAATTTATCCAATCACTCTGAAATTTTGTGTGTGATCAGCAAATTAAATTCCCTTTAAGATGATATATACCAACCCTATGTTATCTCTGAATTAAAAAAGTTAAGGGGGGAGAACAGACTTATTTGACGCCCTGTACATTCAATTGTCTTTTGTCGTTGTATCTCTGGACACATGTCTGGATGCTGAATGAGGAGAACCCTGGTTACGCTTGTTGATTTATTACTGACAGCCTTCCAAAAGAAGGAAAGCACATTTCCGTACTTTTCCTTGGAAATGAGGTAGTCTGAAATGTAGATATAAAAACTTACCATGTATTTATAACAGTGAACTTTGTTGAAATCACTCTTAACAGCTTAAAGACCTTATTTGACAGGTCTTATTTCATCACATTTAGACAAAACGAACATACCTCAATCGGTAGAGACAGCACTGAGAAGTATCAAACTCAACAATTCACTATAATGAAACAATAAACTACGAGAAAAATGGCCATCAGAATTTTGTTGTTTTTCATTTCACCTCAAGATTTAGCCACGTGGTATTGCATCATCAAAGTGAGCAATGTAACTCGCGTGCCGTGGTTATCAATGTGTGAAGATTCCCGGGCCTTTAATGGCTGATGGTTTTATGTCATTTATTTAATGATTGATAGAGTATGTTCATTTGTACTTATTTTAAAACGTTATCCATATTAATGGATGTGAAAAAGACACTTATTTTGTCCGATAAAGGTGTTAGGAGTGAACTTCAGAACTGAATGCACAAATTGAAAGTACAAATACTGGAAAACATATTTCTGGAGTTTTACAACCATGAAAAAAATATATGATTTACGTTTCCACAACACTACATCACAATAATAAATTAGTATACTTATTGATAAAGTGGGTCAATAAAACTGTAATTTAACAAAAATTGCAGTAAAAAAGAAAATATATCTAAAAACAGAAAACATGCGCAAGTTTGCGCATAAGAAACAGCTGATTTGTCATTAATTCGGTATATTATTGAAAGCCATTTGTGAACAAAAATTCAACAATTTGAAAGTTAAAAACATGTATGACAGTGACAGTGACAGCTCAAGTGAAGACGACAGTGGGTTTGTAACTCAAATGGGTATTCGAGTTAAAAAGGGGGTTCGTCTGTTTATATGTCTTGTCAAAGCGTCCAACAGAAGAATAAAATTTAAGTTCACTTATACTATTATTATTGCAAATATTTACTAAGCTAGACATTGATTATATTGATTACCTTGATCCATTGCTTCAGATGTCTTCTCGCTTTTCTGTTAATATAATCCTTAATTTTTTATCCTATTGAGTGTGTTATAAAATTCCTTAAAATTTACAATCCTCTGCTCAATTAATCCTCAATTAATCAAATTCCTCAATTCTATCTTACTAAAAACATTTCACTTATTTGTATGGTATATTCTACTTAAAATGCTATACAAAGTTAAGGCGTTATAAAATAATAATCCAATGGCTAATCCGTGTTTCCATGGTAACTGTTAACAGACTGCCCCGAGCAAAAAACACTCTATGCATAAATACAGGTTTCAAGAAAGGGGAGGTCCAAATTTCGGACACAGCAATATGATTGGAGGAGGGGTAATTTCGATAGACACTTTGGCCTTTCTAGACCCTAGGCCACGTGTCCACAGCAACCTGACAAAGGAATATATGAATGTCAGGCTGATGTAGGATGGTCAAAGAGAAAAAATGGGGGATTTCTGCCTTGGGCCAAATTCAAGTTTTATCGTTTTTAAATGTCCCTTTCTATCTATTAATTAAATGGATCAAGGTCGTAGTTATGAATTACAACATGAAACTGTGACATACTAATTACAGCATAAAAATACAACATAAAACACCGACACAATATCAAAAAACTAGGCACACTAGAACACATAGAACACTGTTTTATAATTAAATACAACATATAAAATCAGGCACTTACATGCGCCTTCACATATAACTTTATATATACTTTCCTACGCTAAATAAAAAGTGTCCCTTCAAAAGACAATAAATGGGCGTGCCAAAAAGCACAAGTTTACAATATAAAATATAATACTGCCCATGTGTATAAAAGCACAAGCGGTTCTTTTAAGTGTTCTTTTAATTTAAATGTATGGTCCCTTCAATAATACACAAATAATCAGCTACAACAGATATCTAACTACAGGATTAGCAGATTAACTAATGGGAGAATCTAACCAGGGCGGGAGCTGCACAGATGGCCTGCGCCATTAAATCAATAGTGCAAGAATTCGAAACATTAGCTTCTAAATGTTAAACAAAAGGTTTCAGTTGAATCAACAAAAGGCATCATGAGAAGAGAGCAAAGGGATTGTTACGGCAAAATCAAGTGTCCGAATAATTTGTAGCACTGAAATAATTTCTATAAATGCTACCAAGCGTGTATTACTTAATGTTCTGAATTGTGTGGGGCCGGCAAAGTTCTCTTCTTAATGTGTGGTGATTTTGACAATTGCTTTAAAGTTTGTAGCTCTGACATTATTTATTATCTGGGAATCTGCTCTGAACATCTAGATTATTAAAATTTCTCTCAGGTGGCATGAATTATTAGCTCACTTAAGTTGTGAAAATGAAGAATACAAAAGACAGAATGTAAAGAAAGTTCGAATGATATTGAAATGGGCCTGGGATAAATGAAACTAGAAAATATTTGAGCAATATGCCTGAGCAATATTGAGAATTGAATTACATGGAGTCTTAGAGAAATTACTTTGCTCACACCTCATACCAAATTCCACTAAAATAATTGATGGTAAGACCTTCCCCAAAAATACATAGATTAAAATATATTCTAAATGAAACAGAAATAGTGCATTTCTGTTACACTGCTCCCCCCCTTGGTTTGATCGTCCCGAGCAACTAAAAGGTTAGTAACAACAACTACTACTCAGGTAGGGCACAAGCTCAGCGTACTTTTGAATGAAAGGAATGTAGGTGGGCTATAAAATCTGAGCCCGTTTCCCACCTGAGTAAACATGAAGCCCTCTGTGGAGACTCTTATGAAATTCGAACATTGCTAGTTCCTCAAATGTTACTCTGCACACCGGGCACCTTAAATTAAGAATTAGCTTTGGGTATTCAAGATTAACTTTAGTCTTAATAGCACTGTCCTCTGTATCAGTGGAGGTAGAGGGGCCAGGGGTATTTGGTTTTCGTGGTTGGGGGGTTCCTGTTCTCTTCCTAGATTGTTGGGCGAACGACATTGTTCTGTTTCTGATTCTGGCGAACGACATTGTTCTGTTTCTGATTCCGGAACTTGTTCGTCATCGGAAATTATCTCTATTGTTATTATTGGTATTTCTTCTTGTTTTCACCTTTTCTGTGGGGGTGCGTGTAGTTTAAGATGTTTCTTGAAGGCTCTCTTGTTTTGTAACTCTTCCCCACAGATTTCGCACTGATACACTGAAAAAACATTAGAGGGGGTGCCTTGAGTATTTGACCCTCGAATAATGTGTTGTCCTATTTGGACGAGGGCAGTCTCTTGATTAGCAGAGAGACGGTTCTGGCGAATTAACATAAAAGTGACACATCCAAGCCCCAGACATATACAAGCCAAGGTGGCCATCATCGAAATAATTACTAATAACTATAATTTAATTAGTCTATTTAATTTTTCACTTCTCCATGGGGAGATTTCACTGTCACTACACCCTTCTCATCTGTCTCCTCATCAGACATCAGGTCGTTGGAGACTCTGCCCCAAATGTCCTGTTCTTCCTCTGTTTCAATATATTTTGACCGCCTTAAACGTGCCTGAAAAACATTTACACAAGTGTAAATTCATGTATTTTTGGGTACATATACAGGAACTGGATACAAATAATAAATAGGAAGTCAGAAACCTTTTAGAACTGTAAATTGTGAATAAATAGAAGAAACAACTACTTACATGATGCCATGTTGATGTCATTTTCTTCTTGTTCTTTACTGCAATTTTTTACAGTGGAGAGTTGCATTTATAACAATAATGATTGAATCTACATACAATTCTTTGACAAGACTGTGGAGAGTTGAATTTATAGCAGAAACCTCTTGGTATATCGTTGTTCTGAGCATGAGATTGCTATTTAGGTTAAGAGTGACCAGTTTGAGCTTTGCGTCCGTAATCTTGTTTTCCCTCAAGTGATGTGAAAATAAATAGAGTGGGACGAGGTTGGTCCCAGGGAAGAGATTGGAAGGTCCTAGCTCTACGGAAATTTTCATCGTAATAGTTCCAATCTAAGTTATTTTATGCTAGTTTTCTGATGTTTTGACCAAAATGCATTAGCGGAATTGCATCTTTAGTATATTTAGTACAATAAATTGTAGTGAATCTATTAAAGCAGGTCACCCATTCATCAATGGAAGAGACTTTAAAGTTAGACTTTGCTTTTGTTAGTTTCAGGCTACTTGAACTAGATTGTTTTAAATCAAATTCTGATTCTTTTTTGCAACTATTTTTGGGGAGTAAGGAAGCAAAATCAACAAACTTATTATCCCATATTTTTTGTTCGGTTTGTTGTGGCACATGCGTGTCAAGTGGTATTTGAAAGGAAAAGGCTCCAGTTGTCATACCTTCAGCTTGGTTGTCAGACGTTTTGAATGATATTTCATTGTCAGATTCAGATTCGTCAGAATTTCCTGGTACATTGTCTTCTTGTGCAGGTTGTTGGTTGCTCAACAGTTCTATGACTCTATTTGCGATTGATTCTATGAGACCGCTTTTATCATCCGTAGATGGGTTTGAGTCTGCCTTATGCCTAGGTCACATAGCCGCCGGGCGCCGGCCGATGAGTAGTCATCGGCCGATTTCTAAATCGACCGGGCGCCGGTGACTTTTCACCGATGTCTTGATCTAATCGTGAGTATGGTCACATTAGTACAGGCATCGTACGGCGCCCGCAATCAATATAATCTGAAAGACATCGCACGGGTATCGCAAGGCTATCTGCCGATGGCCGTACGGCACCCGCCAGGACATCGGTCGATCTACAGGCCTCTAGATTTATACTAAATTCTTGTATGACCCAGTATGACTGTTCCACATGGCGTGAATGCAAGATTTGAAAACGAAATACTTCGATAGACAGGACTTCCAGGATAATAATGTTTCCATGCAATAAAAATCAGAAAAAGAAGATCCTCTTTTGAGTAAATAGGTTCAATATTTAGAAAAAAATGCTGACATGGGGTCCCTATTCATAATTTTTCAAATTGTTTGATTGATATTTTTACTATCATGGGTACTTCAATTGAAAGAAAACATCTTGTTTTAATAAAAACACTGTATTTATGCCCAGAAAGTACTCATGGTGAAAGATATGACCGTCTAAAATCACTTGCCATACTGGACGTGGTCTTTTCATCAAAGTGCACCCTGACCTTAATTAATTTTTAGATCTTTCATATAAACAAATACTATGTCTACCTGTCCATCCGATGCCATAAGCAAAATTCCATATTTCTGCATCTTTCTTTTGTCTGTTCTCGTAAAGAGAATTTGTTTGGTCATAAAAATATGGCCTATCTTCAAAGAAATTGGCATTTTTTCTTCTATTTCAAGTGGACCTAAATCTTCATAATCCACCAGCTCACTAGCATTGTTATTTTCTTTTTCCACCTGTCTTCCCAAGGCCTTCCTCATATTTATATCATATACATTTGCCCTTAAGGGATTATTGGTACAATAAATAAATGAAATTATATGGCCCATTGGCCTTATCCCCTCTATCCTTAGCCTTTGGCATATTAACTGTAATTGAGACAGTGAACTTTCGTATTAAAATTGTGACCCTTGAAAATACTGTACTCACAAAAACATTCAGAAGATTTTAAAAATAAATGATTTGTAATGGTATATGCATGAGTGAATATGCGCATAAAAATGTATCACTCTATTCAATGCGTATGGCAGACATACACGATTAATGTCAATATAAGAACGACTAGATCAACCAACCCACCCACCCAGCCATTCAAATTTTTAGCCTAATCGTTCCATTTATGTTTTATAAAAAATCTCTGACAGTGTGTAGTAATTATAATTCCTTACCTCATTATTTTTAAAACCTTTATATCACTTAATTAATAAGTAATCATTATTATCAGCACGCAAAATCCCAAGATGACCGTGCGATGCCACCGGGCGCCGTAAGATAATCGTACGATGACCGGACGGGACACGGCCGGGTAGGTACCGATGACTTTGGTTGAGAAAAAATCGCCAAGACATCGGCAACTTTTATCTCCGCGATAAAACTCTGCCGGCGCCCGTACGATGTCTAAAAATCGGCCGATGAGTGGCGATCATCGCCCGGCGCCCATACGATGCCCGGGCTCGCCGGCCGATTTTGAACAAAATACTCATCGGCCGGGCGCCGTAGTGAAAATCGGAGCCTATGTGACCAAGGCATTAGTCTTTTTTTCAGATTCGTCAGAATTTTGTGGTACGTTGTCTTCTTGTGCAGGTTGTTGGTTGCTCAACAGTTCTATGACTCAATTTGCGATTGATTCTACGAGACCGCTTTGATCATCCGTCGATGGGTTTGAGTCTGCTTTAGTCTGAATGATTACTAGACAATTCAACGTAGAGTGAATGCTAGATAATCACGTTGATCATTCTACATAACAATAACCAATGCTACTATCCGTCAAGGAATCGATACTTCTGATCTTCAGGGATTCATAATAATGATTCCTTTGAAATCGACTGTGTGCACATTATGTGTAGATAGAATACTGTCGATATTTACTTTATTGAAGCACTATAACTTCAGTGTACAGATGGAATGAAATCTTCGTATGGTACTCATTCTATGGTACATTTTGTCAGCTCAGTTCTGATAAAAGTCACTATTTATTCTTATAATATTGTTTTGACGACTGTCTTTCACACATTTGTCAGATTTATGTTCCCTTTCTAACTTTTTTTGACCCAGTACCACATCCCATGCAAAAATACATTACGGGTAATGACTCTGTCTCATACAACTCATATGCATTCGCCTGCTTAATACCGTCATTTAGCTGGCATCTTTAATAGCTACGATGGTTTTATTATGAACACATACTTAAGCCAACAATCCGTATACTTAATTCTTCTTGTAATGTTTATGAATAAATGTTGAAATAAATTAACATTTTGGGGACTGTAAAGTACAATATTCTTGTAATTATTCTTTTTTTAAAAAGATGGCGGTATTGTAAACAGACCAGTATGGTTGTTCGTTGTATAGATGTCTACTATCTAGAGACGTATTTTGGCATCTTTAATAGCTACGATGGTTTTATTATGAACACATACTTAAGCCAACAATCCGTATACTGAATTCTTCTTGTAAAGTTTATGAATAAATGTTGAAAAATTAACATTTTGGGAACTGTAAAGTACAACATTCTTATAATTATTCTTTTCAGTATAAAAAGATGGCGGTATTGTAAACAGACCAGTATGGTTGTTCGTTGTATACACTAGGGCAGAGCATTTGTACTGAAAGGAGCGTTTTCAGTACAAATATGTACTGAAAAATGTACTGAATTTTTAAGTATATTTTTCAGTATAAATATTTACTGAAAAATATACTTAAAATTTCAGTGCAAATTTCAGTATAAATATGTACTGAAAAGTGTACTGAAATTTTAAGTACATTTTTCAGTATATATTTATACTGAAAAATATACTGAATTTTAAGTGTGATTTTAAGTGCAAATATGTACGTAAAAATATACTGAAATTTAAGTGTGATTTTAAGTGCAAATATGTACTGAAAAATATATTGAAATTTAAGGGCATATTTAAGTGTAAATTAAATATACTGAAAAATATACTTAGGTTTTGAATTACGACATCTTCCTGACTTTGACATCTATACCATGGATTTTGCTATACTCGAACAAATGAGGTTCTATGTTCATGTTATATATTTTAATTTTGATATCAAGTAATTAATTTGCTCAAGCAATATGAGTGAAAATCTCATGAAAAACTTATTTTTAAGACTGAGAAAATGTGTACCTTTAATGTTTTTGAATTTTAGAACTTAATAAGGTAGAATGTATCTAGAAACCTCAAAAGGTATGGAATACACATGTTATGTACAATCAGTTTTAAATAAAGGGTTTATCCCTCAGGAAATATGGGTATCCAAAACCTCCCAGTACATAACCCTTATATATGCATTATATTTGATAGGTTTGATCGGGCTAAAAAGAAATTTATTGATGGAGAAAATGCAATCAGATATTATTACAGGATGCGTCTTAAATAATTAAATCCAAAAACATAACTTATTAAAAGGAAAACACTTGATTTGATTAGAGTCTGCTTTAAAGGATGTGTCTAAAGAAACTTTATTAATCCATTAACAAAACAAAATATTTTGACAAGGCAAAACAAACCTGATTACAGAGAGACTCTTTTAAGTTTGGTTAAAGTCTGCTGTAAAGGAAGCATCTAAAATAATTTCATAACGTAATGGCATTCCTGGGGGGGGGGGGGGGGTTCAAGGGTCCAAGCGAACCCCCCCCCCCCCTGCAGCCAAAAATTCTTTTAAAATCATGCACTTTTTCACCATTCTAAGAACTTTTTGAGTGATTTAAGCCGTTTTTAATTAATCCATAAACATAACTTCTTAAAAGGAAATCACTTGTTTACAGTTAACCTAGCCTCTCCAGTTTGATTAGAGTCTGCTTTAAAGGATGTGTCTAAAGAAACTTTATTAATCCAATAACAAAACAAAATATTTTGACAAGGCAAAACAAACCTGATTACAGAGAGACTCTTTTAAGTTTGGTTAAAGGCTGCTGTAAAGGAAGCATCCAAAATAATTTCATAATGTAATAGCATTCCTGTTGGGGGGGTTTCAGGGGTCCAAGCGAACCCCCCCCCCCCCCCCGGCCAAAAATTCTTTTAAAATCACGCAATTTTTCACCATTCTAAGAACTTTTTGAGTGATTTAGAGTTTATAAAGTATGCCTTACATTTACGTTTTCTCTTATTTCCATTATTGGGCACAAATATTTCTCATTGCATATATTTATACTTAAAATTATCCTTAAATTTCAGTATATTTCGAATGATTTTTTGATTTGATGCCTTTTTAACACATTATCCATTTCTGCCCCCACTGGACCAGATGTATTTTTCAATTTTAACTCAGCTTTTTCTTCATTTATTGTTTCCTTTACTGAATCCTTCGCTTTTCCAGGCTTCATATGTTTGGCTTTCTTTTTCAATGAATAAATTTTTTCCCATGTATTCACATATTCACCAAAAGGCGTGTCTCTCTTATCCTCTGGAAGTCTTTTGTCACGGGCGATATTGCGCCCCAAAGCTCGATCAATCAAGTTGCATCCTTTTAGCAAGAGATTGTGATGTTTTAAAACAACACCTAGAAGAATGTGCAACTATGGGGGGCATATTTGACTTACCGTATTTCTATATTAAATAAAGGCTCATTTATAACATTCATGTAATATTTTGCCTTCGATATGTTTCCATCAGTCTCATCAATGAATTTCTTGTGATGTCTTTTTAATGTGGCTAGCGAGCGCTGTGTAATTTTCAAAGAGAGTCTGTCTTTTCTGGGAATGTTGTACTTGGAATTTGGAAGATGACAATATAAACATGAATATGTCCCACATGGTCCGGAAAGCCCCATGCCTTTAGTCAGAAAGTCGTAGTCTCCACACATGAAAAGTCATATCCTTCTGCCTTGCCATGACATATTCTTGATATGTTCGATATCGGGTCTGA